GCACGGACGACGGTAAAATTACAAAATTCATTAACATCCCAACTGCTTCCAGTGGTGCAACTTACGATGATGAGAGCGACATAAAAACTGTCTTTATATCGGAGCTACAAGTTCTGCCGTTGGGTATACCCGTGCGGGAAATGGTTGTTTCGTCCAAGAGCAACACTTTGTTAGTCGTCAGCGACGGTACAATTGTGACTGTTCCCCTTCACCACTGTGCTCATATCGTAGACTGCGCAAGTTGCCTGAGTCTGCAGGATCCCAACTGCGCTTGGGACCAACAGACACACGAGTGCAAAAGCTTGTCGTTTTCTAATCACAAATTTGGCACTAAATCTTTTCTCCAATCGCTGAATAGCACTAAAAAGGCAGCCAAATCTTTGTGTCCAAAATCTTCGAACCGGGGCACAGTTATTGCCGATGGCCCAGTACTGAACTTCGGGGCGCCAATCGACAATAATGTGGATCCCCAAATTAACACACAACACAACCCGGAGGAAGAGCTGGCTAGGAAACACGTGTACACGAATGTGGCTTCGGTTAATGGCATTCCAACAATCGGTAATGATATTAATTCGCCGGGAATAGAAATACCAACGGCTGTCGGTGGTGATTTCCTCAATGTTTTCAACGACGAGAACAAAATTACGCTACAGTCTGTAGATCCACATGACTTGATGAACTCAGTTAACGGTATGAAGCTTTAGAAGTCACTTTATAACTCTTGCCCAACATTTTCATAATGTGTTCATTAATTTTTCTTGTAGACCCCCTTCAATCCACCGCAATTGGCGAGGAACAAAAACTTCAGTTAGCCGGGAAAAGCTTTTATTGGGGTTTTGGAGCGTTGGCACTTGCTTTAGTTTTCATTATTGGCATGGTGGTAGGGCTTCATGTTTCCAAACGTAATTGCAAACCTCCATCCATACACAGCAGCCATCGCAATCAGTTTAATGCGAACCCGTAAGTAGACATTGGAATATTTTCTGGTACATTCAATTGCTTAATCGTGTATTTTCACTATATTCTAGAACGTTTGGCTTAAAGCACGGCAAAGATATAAATCTACTGATGAACACCAATCACTACTGTCATCCCGGCAAACCCAGCCTGGATTTAGAAAAAGATCGCAGTCACGAGTGTAAAAATTCTACGGAGAATCTCGAAAAAGAGTTGCCCTGTAAGACGTCGACACTGACTAAGGTCAAACGCACATACATATGATCCTATGGACTGTTTGCATGCTGGCATCGACTCTGGGTCATTAGTAGTAAGGGTAACTACAACCAGTTTTTAGTAAAATTTTTTTATAAAACGTTTTTGTTTTGTTTAGTTTAAAGTTAGTTTTAGTTTGAATTATTTTCCACGAATGACGCTCTTTTTATCACTCAGGCAGGTGATATTGATTCGACTAGTGTTTTATGCTGATGATGCTGACAGAGCATATGTTGGCACTAAATCTACTTAGGTCTCCACTTCGAAGCTACAAAAACATTACTTGAATTAATATCTGCAAACCATTATTGAAAATATCGTAATTTTCTTCTTTTTGTGTGTTATGTATATAGAGGCGTGTATTAAGAGCGCAGTTCAATTTTAGTCTTAAATTATTTTTAGGTATATACATAAATATTTTAAATCTTACGAGGCGTTTGAAACGTTTATCCCCCGAATCTAAGTTTACATTGATTTTAGCTTGTATTTTTTTTAAATAGCGAAGGGAGTCTATCTATCGTTTCGTATGCATACATAATGAAACAAAACACATTTTATAATCGACTAAAATTAAGTACAAATCCAATATGTATCGATCAATTCGATTAGAGACGTACCCTCGATAAATGTTCAAATGTTTATTTTGTATCACTCTTTCTTTAATACACATATCATTGTTTGACGTCAAGGCGTTCCATATATCGCCTGAACATTTGTATATTATTGTCATTATATTTACCGATCGGTAATACCATTACAAATACAAGTATTTATACATAAAACCCAATTAGACTGACCACTATTTTGATATGCTTTTCTTGAAGCGCCACACTTAAGCGTACGAATGTAAATTTGGAATTAGTATTAGTTTGGCTTCGAAGAAACAATCTTGCATGTGTGCAGGTGATCCTAGCGCCTGAAGCCGAGGAAAACAAAATTGTAACTGGCATTGATATATTGCGAACAACATATGTTAACATAAATTGTTTTTAAAAAAGTAATGTTTTCGATTTCTCGTAGTATTTTGAATCGATCAAATAATATTCACGATTTCTTAACAAAAAGAACCTGTGTTTAGCAATAGCACATAATCGGCCTTATTTAAGGACACTCTACATATACATGCTCAATGGAATTTCATATTACAAAACAGCCTATCGTATAGGAACAACATTTTTTTAAATTATTATGCGGCCTTGAAAATAAGAATGATTTTATATAAAAAAACAACAACAATTAAAGGAGTCTGCAGTCATTGGATGAAGCGAAGCAATATTACTTGAGAATAATCGATTGCGATTTTATATAGCTTGTCGGACATTATCCGAATGTTTGTCAAGGATAAAGAACAAAATGCCTTATAAAATGTCAATTAAATTTTTATACCGAATTTTATGTATACATACATTTATATATACTACAAGCAAATCGCGTCTACATATTTAAGAACAAAGTGCATGTCCGTCCCACTAATAAGTAAAAGAATAAGCAAATTTAAAATAATATTTTGTCTTAAGAAAACTACAAACAAATATATGCATATATTTTCTACTTTTTTACAAACAGAACAAATGTGTAAATTGAATCTTATCAACAAAATTAAAGTAAATATATTATAAATATAAAATTAAGAAAATCTAATGATTGTAAACAACAAATTCAGCTAAATATTCTATAAATTTAAGTTGAACTTATTATTTTGTATAACAACTCGTTGTGATAGTTTGTATTTGAAGGAAATAATGATACACATAAAGTTAATTTTTTTGTTCAAATTCAAGGCAATGTGTAAGCTCTAAGTTTTCCCTACGAGACGGTCTTCCTATAGTGACGAAGGAAAATTTAGACGTTTGTTTTATGCAGACTTTCTATCTCTTGTCAAGTTTAAATCTTAAATAATATTTGTTTTAACTGTTTTTAATTTTTGCAATAAAGTCGTATTTTTACAAATCGTCGTTTTTTTATTTCTAGTTTTAGTCAAGGGGCAAATGTAAATTTGATGTTTGCTGGGGTAATCACGGCGAAAGAACATAGTGTCCCGGGAGTTGGTAACAACTGTTTCCAGATATCACACACACTTAATGTCCAATCGAGGTACATATCATGACCAATCTATTTGGTCATACCATGGACTACATAAGGTCGGCCAGTAAGACCATCTGACAACCAAATTCATTTCAATTGTGAATGCACACTCTCTTGAATACTTTGAACATACTGTGTGTGAACGTCCGCCCATTGCGAATGCATGTTCCAAAACTTCCGATCCAGGGAACACCATGTTGTCAGCCTTTCTGTTTTGATTCCACATCTTTATTCAGATTTTTTCTGTGCTGCCTTTCCTTTCAGTGCTGCGGTAGTGTCCTTTGTTCGTAACTACTTTTTTTTCGGTGGCGTTTCGGCGGTAAATTGATTCGGTTTTTAAGTTCATATCATGGCCCAATTCAAGGTAGATCTAACAGGTAACCGCATCGGCGAATTGCTACAACAAAGCAACTTTTGTGGTCCCCTCAAATGTCAAAATTGGCATCTAAGGCGAAAAACATAGATTCGCCATGACATTTAAAGGTTGCGGCAAATTTGTTTCAACCAATCAGAAACGAGGTGTTTGTTTACATTTTATTTTGTGTGCCTCTCGTCGTAAACGAACGTTGCAATAAAAGTTTTTATTGTAAAACAAATAAGAGTAAAATAAGTATTAATTGTAGTATTGCGATATTTTTTAAACCAAGAAACTTATAATGACTATATTTTACTGGTTTAAACCGAAAGTTTTCCGGAACTGCAAATGGCAAGAGTCGAATTCTTGCACTACTTCCCGTGATGTGCTTTGGGAATCTGAGATGTTGGGGCTAACTTAATTCTTAAAGCCGCACTCCATTCTAACCTCCTTCCTTCATTTTCTTTTAATTTTTTTTACTTGTTTCACTCTAAACTTGCTCTTAAATTATTTGAAATATTATAAAAAGGTACTTTTAGGGAAGACAACATAAACAAATTTGTTGTTGCATTCATTTAGGGCGAATTTTTCATTACAACAATTTGTTTTGACATTTAATGGTGCCGTCAGCTGGGCTGATGCGATTACCTAGTACATCTACCTTGGCCCAATTATAAGGTCTTCCTTCGAGCGAATTAATCTAAAAACAGCTGTTATTTTACTAAATGAAATGTCAAAATTAATGCTTGAGGCGAAAATAAATATTTTCGCCTTGACAGAAGAAATTTGGGGCGAATACGTTTGCTGTCAATTTTTTGTTTGTATAGCACATGGTAGAAAAATACAGGTAGACGCATCGACGGAGTTGCTGGGATAATGGACTGACAAACTGACTTTGAAATTATGAAAAATTTTTGATATTTGTAAAAATTGTTGAAAAATGCATATCATAAAAACATCCGATTGGTGCCGTATAAGAAAACTTTTAAAATGTACTTATTTAAGAAAAAGGCATTTTAACAATTTAGACATATCAATGTTCCCAAGCGTTGATGCCTCTACCTATATTCTTCTACCATGATATAACAGCTCTACTGCATTGTAGATATGTAAAAAATTTTAAAAAGTTTTTTTTTTCCAAAAATAAGTACATTTTATAAATTTTCTTATACGACACCAAACGTAGGTTGTTAATATGTAATTTTCAACAATTTTTGAAAATTTGAATAAATTTTCATTTAAAATTTTCGATTTAAGAATTGTCCCAGCAGCTATGCGATGCGACTACCTGTATTCTTCTACTATAGTTTTGAAGTTTGTTTTGGTTGCAGCGAATTTAAATTTAATTGACAGATCGTGTGGCAAGTGTATGTGTGAGTTTGTGCGTGAATAAGAAAACTTAAAAAACAATAAAACAAATCCGACCGTCAACTTAACTTTCAATTTAATATTTGAAGCTTTGCTCTTGTGGGTGGTGTGAGTGATGTGAAAAAGACAATTCCGCCATAAAATGAAACAGGAATTGGAATTTTTGGACAGAGAGGGTATTTTTTAAAATTTGGACATGTAGCAACTATAAATATATCCACTTTTCCAGATGTGCAGAACAGATTAGTAGTAAAGTGCGAGGATGACGAAGAAGGCGATATACACCCTCAATGTGTCCATGGGCCAACTATTCTATTTTACTATGAGGACAAGGGACCAGAACATGGTTACTATGGGTGTTCGGCATATAGGGATAAAAAACTGTGCCCTTTTAACGTACCTGCATCAGAGTTAAATGTAAAACATTTCAGAAGGCAATACGACACATCCACTGTTTTGTACCGAAGCGCGAGGAAGAAGGTATTTTAATTTTTAGTTCAGCGAAGATCTCCAAGTCGTTTTAATGTGACTGTTCAGTTTTTAGAGGATGGTGAGGACACGCAGAAACACTATTGTTTGTCGTGCAACAAGGCGATAGTTAACGATGACTTGCCCAAGCATTTGGATCATAATGTAAAACAAAACTTGCCGAAACATTATATACAGGATCCCACTCTCTTTCTACCACCCCTAAACAATGATAAGGCACAGGCTCAGTATTTCTTCGATGAAAAGTCGCTGCAGTTCTTTGAGAATACGTTGCACGACTTGAAAATCAGGTAACTATGGATGCCAGTTATGTCAAAATGTGAGGAACATTGTGTTATGTTTTACAGTAAAATTATTTGTATGGGGGCTCCCCGATTACATTGTTATCTCTCCTCCAAACCTTCGAATCAAGTAAAGAGTTATCTACTGGATCTTGACCATCGTTTCATTTACTTCTATGACGACACAAGTTTTGCATGGTATAACATGTGCAACAATCACTTTTTCGACGAACTACAGAAACAGGAGTTTTTCAAATTTCTCAAATGCCAGAGGTAAGTCTGTGAAGCAATTAAATAGCCAAGTGAAATATAAATTTGCGAAATAGACTAGCACTAAAATAAACTTGATTGTATGTTATTATAGCGATGAAAGACTTCTAATATTTACTGACCCTCCATTTGGCTGTCGCACGGAATTGATAGGTAGCACACTGAATAAACTATCAAAGCTTTACAGTAAAATCAATCAAATCCCTTATCAACCACTGCCTATTTTTTGGGTTTTCCCATATTTCCTGGCTCAGTACATACAGAAAGTGATGCCTTCATTACAGATGTCGGATTATAAAATCAACTACACCAACCACGACTCTTACACCGACATTGGGAAATCAGCACGCAAGCAAGGATCTCCTGTGCGTCTATTTACCAATGTTCCTTTGGACATACTGAAGCTACCTGTTAAAGAGCAATATAAATATTGCTCCAAGTGTCAGAAATATACAGCTTTGGAGAATAGGCACTGTGAAATATGTAAATGCTGCCCTTCAAAAAACGGATCAACATATGTTCATTGTAATCAGTGTGGATTGTGCGTAAAACCGTCCTATGTTCATTGCAGAAACTGTCGCAGGTGCACTCAAAAAGGGGGCCACAATTGCTCAGAATACCAGAAGCACCAAACGTGTTATATATGTCGAACTGTGGGTCATACGGAAAAGAGGTGTCTTTTTTGGAGAAAGAAGGTATTGCACCAAATGTTTCCTCCCAAAGAAACCGATAGTGAAAACATTATCGTTTGCATTCTGTGTAACAAAATTGGCCACAATGAGTTGTCCTGTGACCAACGCTCTTTTTACTTAAAAGAACTTACGTTTATGGGCGAAACCCAACTGTGCGAAAATGTATACCGAATGCCTACACTGAAATCAGCGGGTAAGACAAGTGTCAATTCCTTTCAAGCATTTTGATGTCCATAACAACCTTGAATATTGCGTGACAATAAAAATGCCTTTTTTTAAATATTTGTTGAATTCTTTTATATTCTCGTACGGAACCATTTAAATATATATAGGAGAAACATAATTAAAAGCAAGTGTTTGTACGTATCAAATCAACTAGCAAAACTTAAAACAGATATTTCGCTTAACATTTAAGTACTTTACTAAATTTACACTGAATATCCTCTCTTATGAGACAAAGGTGCTTTTGTAGGCCTACCCCTAGGGGATAAGGATCCACCCTCAAAGTCGCTATCGAGTAAAGGTCAACTTTTACTATGTTCTGGTTTCTCATTATAATCGCCCGTGCTGTAGTCAGCCTCGATTTCACGCAACTCAATTTTTTGTTCCTCCATTGCTTTCTGGAAATTGAGAAAATCAAGATAACAATGGCTATTGAAGATAAATAATTGCACATACATACTTTTACGCACTCTTGATAAACCTTGAAAATAGGAGCGCACATGCTGTCGTCATTGTCTCCCTTCAGGAATCGTTCAGAGAACCATAGGTTAAAGCAGGCATCATACTTGCGCTTAAGTTCATTGCAATCCTCGCCCAGGCTATTCATTTTTATAGTACTTTTAAGTCTCAATTCTACAATTCTCAAAGAAAAGAAACCAATTGTGTGTTTTATATTGTTATATTAAGAATCGATTATAGAATAATCGAAATGTCAGATGTAGTCGGCTATAGTCAATTCCTGTTTGTTGCAATAATCAAATCTTATTAATAAGTTCACCCATCTGTCCATCTAGCTTTTTTTAATAACGGCCCATCTGCATGACACAATGAAGAGGTCGTCAGCAGCAGATCAAACGCATTTTGAAATTTTGCATGTAGTTTTGGATATATTTAACATATACCCATTCTCACAAATGTTGATTCAGCTACATGTATTCTTTTACAATGTATGTACTATTGCATGCTATCATTCTACTGTGGAATGCAGTGATATCATTCTTGCGATAACATTATCGAAATGTCAAAACAACATTTTGAGGTTACGAGTTGGATTTCTATTAACTGACATAACTTTGGTTCCGACACGCTACACTAGTATAGTGGAGTTATTTGCGTTTTTGTTTTACTTGAAAGAAATTGAATAAAAAAATATGAACAATTTAGCCAAAGTTGCTGTGCGTCTTGTTAGCAACACATCTTTGAGGAACGCATTCGGAGGCAAGCGCGATTTTACCCGAACGCTATGGCACATGTCAAAGAATCTCGATGGCAGTCAAGTTTCTGGAGGAATATTAAATGCTACCAAACCAAGTATTAGCTGTAGTTGCGGCTGTGGTGGATCTAAGCACATGCACACCAAGGGTAGGTTGGAAATAGCTATTGACGGTGTTTTGAGAGAACAGCATTACATAACCTCAATGGAATCGAAATGATGAAATAATGCCGGTACTGATGTTTTTCTTTAAACTTTTTTTAGGAGAGCGGGAATTGGTTGAATTCTTGACTGAAGAGATTTTGGCAGAACGCAAAGCTCAGAAAAACAAAACAGTTCCTACAAACTTGGACGGCTTCGCAGTTAAGTTAGATTGTGCTGAAATTGAACTCACCAAACAGGGCGAAAAGGAGAAGTGAGAAAATGCCACTTTGGATATTCATTTATTTCCTAACATGTTATAATTCTTGCAAACTTTGCAGGATTGTTATTAACTTCAATGTAAATCATACTGTCGATACTGAAGAGGAGCCCGAAATTAATCCCTCTGCTGACAAACCCGACTTGGGAGAAATGCGAAGCAAACCACAGTTTGAAGTGGATATTGTGAGAGGCAATACGACATTATCGTTCACGTGTTCCTTTTTGGAAGGCACCCCCGAAGAAGGAGAGTACAATGATATATTCGGCATCGACGAGATGACTATCTACCAAGGAGAATGGAATGAAAAGGTTTATGCTGTTGCTGGAGATGTACTAGACGGCGTAAGCAATCAACAATCAAATGTTTTGTTCAAAACTCATTGATTTTATTTTTATTTCAGTACCTCTACGATTTGCTGATGAATCTGTTGGAAGAGAAGGGCATCAGCAATGAATTTGTAGAAAAATTGTCGGATCTGGCAACAGCCTATGAACACTCGTTGTATATTGGTTTGTTGGAGAACGTTTCAAAATTCACGACTGGAAAGTAGATACAGTTTGATAATAGTCCCCAGTATCCTGTATCTTTATAGACCATGGAGCATATTTTATGTATTTTTAATTTGTAGACGTTTTGTGTGGAATGAAAATTTTTACTACATTCAAATCTCTACACACATACGCGTCAGTGTTAGGCATTGAATGAAAATTGTTACGTTGATATTCAATATTCAATTTCATGGCATTTCTCTTTATTTCGCCTTCAAATTATTACTATTTCTAAGTTTTGTAAAACTTTCCTTTCAAAGTTTTTGTTATTTATCGAAAGGAAAATAATTTTATAAGATACATCCCAACTTTAACCATGTAATTGGTTTAATAAACAAACAAAAAGCAAAAATACTGCTGTACTTAATTGACGTTATATTTACTTTATATGTATTTGCGAAATTCAACTTGGAGTAGTGTTTCTATGAAAAAGTAAAGAAAATCTCTTCGGGTGTACGTGGAACTGCTGTTTTGGAATTAAAGCAAACTGGCAAAATTAAAATGCGTTATCGTAGCTTTCCTGAAGTGTTGAAAAACGCTAATGCAAACATCGTGTAATAAGGAAAGCGTCTAGGTCACTGATCTATAGAGGACGAGGCAATTTCCTCAAATATTTCGAACAATTTTTTTGGAGTTTTCTATGGTTTAATGATATACCCTTTATAAAAATTAATGTATTTTTTCAAAATGTTTTAAAAGATTGGAGTTAGTAAATCCTTGAAATTGTATATTTTTGGATACATATGTATATTTTTTGCTTATTTGCTCATTTGGTTTCGTCGCAAATTAACCTAAAACATCCGATGTTGTCAGATCTCTCTTTCAAAACAATTCTTGGGGTTCCAACAGAGGAAATATATGATTTTCAGGAAAAATTCTTAGAAAGTGTGCAAGAAATTAAAATTTCCGTGGGCAGGGCACCATAGGCACCCTGGCCAAGTCGGTGGCGAAAAGTAATAAAATAAACATTAGTATCTTTATTTTTCTCCATTTGAACCACAGTCTATTTATTATTCGTAATTTGCGTTGCAAGGTGCTGGAACTACCCATCTCTTGATCTGCGTATTTTTTAGCTTTCAAATAACGCGCTTCGATTTACCTTCTACTGATTTTTAACTTTACATAATCTTATCTTTGCTATATATTATTTCATTTTTACTTGCTGCTTCTACAAATGTTCGTCTATTCTATAATTCAATGTTTTATCATAATGTAGTTGCGGCTAAGGAGCCAACTAAATGAAGTATTGTAAAGTAATGTATTATATTATGTAACAACCGTGTTCCAAGAAAATGAACGAAAAATCGCTGTGGTGATCCTTAAGTGGCGTTGCCGGTATGCTGGCGTTTAGCGCGGCTATGGCTCGTCGGATTGGGGGTTGGTTCTCGCCACTTGTAGACCTTTTCGGTTGAACAAACAAAAAATCATACCGGACTTCACACAAAATCTAAAAGGGGGATAAAAGGAAGCCTGAAACATGTCTATAAAAAAAAGAAAAAGAAACCGTTCACCTAAACTACAACCCAAATCCCAAACTTACTTTACTTTATCACCACAGAAAACAGTGCTCCTGGCGGCTGACCAACCAGGAGATATCCCTCCCTCCGAGAACACCTCTCGCCATGACGTCTACTTATCCCTGACGTCCCAGATTTGACCCTTAACTTACCACATTTTATCCCATGGCCACCACCTTTTTAATAGGGCTTTAAGCCAAAAACATATTTATCTTTTCTACAAAAAATTTGTACATTTTATTCAGCCAATTTTGCTCTTCAAAGATATGAACAATTCAACAAGGCTTTTATATGTTATAAAAAAAAACATAATGACAAAAAAATCGAAGATATAAATTTACAGCGCCAAAATTATTTTAAAATATCATATTTGCTCCTTTCTCCTTTCAGGTTGCGATGGCGGTCGACAAAAAGTATGGAACAGTAAAGGCTGCTAATGTTTGAGGTTCTTCCCAATTGGTAAGTACGAACGTATTGTTAATGTCTAGCTTTTTTAATTATATTCCACGTTCAATTTTTTTTTTATGTTTCTTTTTTTTTTTCAATTTTGGGGAAGGACAAACAAAGGAGTGGTGTCGACAACCAAAAAAATCGACGAGCGAAATAAAATGCCTGGTTACCTAACCTTGAATAGAGCTCTTTTCAACGTCGTGAACCTGCACCTCAATCAAAATGTGAGTAAAATTTAAATTTAAATTCATTTGTTTACCCCTTCTAATTTCTATCTTTCTTTCACAGGAAAACGGCGGAATTTAATTATTTAGCTTCGTCGTCCGTCTGTCTGTCCGGAGTTCAGTGTGACAAATGTCGATTGGGAATGATACCAGGCCACGCTGGAGCAGCAATGGCGTAAAATCTGCGCCTCCCTCGATGGATTGGACGGGCGATGGTGTGGCTCGTTGACTCCAGTTTCCTGGTCTGGATATTTAGGTTTAAGATTTATTTTTTTTAGTTTTAGAATTTCAATTGTTTTGTTTTCAAATTTGTTTAATTGTTTCCAAACTTTGTTCAATTTTTTTCCAAATTTTGTTTAAATTTTAAAATAAGTTTAATTTTTTAATTTTCATGAAATTATTTGTTTTAGTTATAAGTTTTTAACTTTTAAACTTTTAGCCTTTTCTTGATAAATTTTGTTTAATCGTTTTAAGGCTTTCAATTTTGTGTAGAAAAAGTTTGTATTTTGTGTTGTTTGTTTATAAGTTCCAAACAAATAAAAAAATTGAATTCACTCTTCAACAAGTGGTTCACCACAAAAACTTCTGTTGGTTTTTCCTTTGCTGGTTACGGGGAGCCACACGTCCAATCTTCTTCGCTGGTAAAATTAAAAAGGGCAGATTTTTCTGGCAATTTTGGCCAGG